CCACGCGACAACGCGTGCAGAACGTTTCTACAGCCTTCTTCGCTGCGGATGAAAGGACGTGTCAGAAGGGCTGGGTTTGGCGCGGTGCCAGCTCGTATTCTACGAGTCGTTGTCGCTTACACGCCTCGATAACTTGAAGGAGCAGGCAGCGCGGCAAACCCAACCTCACTGACACGCCACTTCCGCGCATATTCTGGTCCTTCGATGGTTTTCGAAAATATTCCGATAAATATTATTTTCCGATTATTTCATCGAGATTAATCAATGAAAGTAAACAAACTATTGATAGAACCATTGAAAGTCAAAACTAAATGTTGAAAAAAAACGTAATGAAAAACTAGTTTGGCTTGAGGTAGGATGGGGGATTTCACACTTTCGCTACTATCCATTTTCGTGTCTTCTGCTTCACAAGAGTTGACAGATCTTCTTTACGGGAGCTACTTCTATGAAGCAGTGAACCCAACGATGAAAAGTAGCAAAAGTGCGAAATGCCACTCCAAGCCGACCTGCGCCCGAGTCTCTCGTGACACTATTCCTGTTTCCGAATATGGAACCAACGAACGCGTTTTTCCATTTTTCAAGCATTGACGGCGCCTGAGACGATGGTGTGACTTATTCACGGGTACGCCTTTTACCTCAGAAAATAGTGTATATTGACTCTGAACAGAGGAACTCACCTTCGTTTTCCTTGGGAGATGAATCATTTTGTAGACGAGGTCTCCACCGAAATGAGTCAATTCTGCGACATAGATATTCAACTCTCCAGAAGTTTCGATTTGTTTGCTCGGTTCTCGGTTTGCACTCTCCCTTCTGCAACACGCTTCAAAACAATAATCAGTAGTTATCTACTATTCCCAATATAGACTTCCATTCGATGGCACGCCCTAGATTTTGAACTGGTGAGTTGTGCGGCTCAAATACTAAATATTATATGGAGTGTGGATGTGTAATAACATAAAAGTGAAGAAAATTGCCGAAAAACCCCACATGTAATGCCCATATAGAACCCCATGCTATACCGCGCTTGTACATGCATAAGGCGAAGATAGGGCGTGATCGGACGAGCTCGCTTGTTCTTCCCCCCCCCCTAATCATCGCCAGGTTCACTATTCGAAATTGGAAACAATTGGGCAGCGTTCACTAATTCGAATGCGAAACAATTGGGCGGCAGACGCCCACAAGCATGAAACCTTTGAGGTGCTGCCCATGTCCGGCGACAGTGGTCGCGTCGCAAGCGAACTGTCTTCGCTTACGTATTTTTGAGCGGTGAAAGTACACCATAACAGAAGCTAGACTTTTATCAAAGTATCCGTAGGATAACGGCCTTGTCGCCAGACAGTTTTCGCGCCGAACGGATTGTGATGTACGTATGCAAGCGGCCCAAACTAATGAATATCGATAAGAAATTTAGTCCAAGTTTTACAAAAGGGTTCGCAAAAGGTGAATGTCTTTCTCAGTGAGATCATAAACTTACCTAGCCTTCAATGTAGAATAAATGCAATAGGCATGGGTCTTCTCCAAACCCATTGAGATAAGTTCATCAGGTGTTAGAATACCCAAGCCGTGCAGGGTGAAACTGTAAAGACAAACACTATGTCTGACAACAATTTTGCATTTTACATTTTGCATTACTCTCTATTCATTGTAATTCAATCCATGTATAAGTGTAAAAGGATAATGTATAGAGTATCTACGGTGTAATACAAACAAAATGAACATGGTTGCTCAACACTTAGACAGGGCTGCGTTCATACTTTGCGGCAGCGTCCACCTGATTTCCTCCTACTTCCCCACACTCTCCTCTACTGCGCGCTGCTGTACGCTAGCAATCTCTCGTGGACTCAGACGTTCGCTTGTTCGACACCTATACTTCCCTCGTGTCTCGAGACGCGGGTGGACGCTAGCGGACGCTGCCGCAAGGTATAATCGTAGCCTCAAGGAAAACATATAATACATAAGTACCCAGTGAAGCTTCCTTTGTAATGGTCCATACCAATAGATTCGAGAAATTGGTGAACTTCTAGCGAAGAATTTCCGCTGAAATAGATCTAAAAATGGAAATAAGATAACTAACTTCTCTAAAAAAGACCTACCGAATACTACACTTATCCACTTCGTCACGGTTGATAATGTTGATTATTTCGACAGAAGCACTTCTTTCATTCTTTTGAACATGCCCAATAGAAGGAAATTGAGGCAAAGTGCTGTCGGAGGTGACCACTGGAGTGTGGTCAATAGGTAATTCAGCATTCCTAAAAGCAGCTCTCTTTTCCTGATAGCATCTTTGACAGTTGTTCATCATTGAACCCACTCTTTGTCGGTATCCAAACATGTATCGCGAAGTCGGGTGGATTTTCTTCTCGACTGACACGGCCTACGACTCCAGTAATGAGACTTCTGCAAACTGTTTTTAGAGAAACGCGCATTGACGGACTATTTGATATTCAAAAAAACCCCTTCCTATTAAACAGGGCTATAACTCACAATCGCCAGTCGGACTCGAGCTAGACCCACTCCATGAACATGTTGGGCAGTTTCATAGTTCAGAATACCATTTTTACTAGTGAAACATGCGCGAAAATGAAGTTGTAGAGTTCTGACAGCTGGATGTTCTTCATGTCTTCGCTTACTATTCGATGCATCATCCCATTCCTTCGCTACGAGCTGTTCACAGATATGCAACACGCTGCACGCCCAGCCACACGCCTTACCAAGATCACAACTGGATTTTAGAGAAACAAAAGCGCATAGACAGACTGTTCAACTTCAGATGACCTTTTTCATATTGAACCGAGCTATAACCGCAATCGCCAATGGGGTGGTGAGCTGAACCCTTTTCATGAACATGTTGAGCAGATCCGTAGTTGAGAATACCATTTTCGCTTGTGAAAAATGCGCAAAAATGAACTTGGAGAGTTCCGATGGCTTTTATTTTTCAAATACCTCGCCTAGCACTCAATCCATCACCCAAGTCATCCTACGCTACAGGCGTTCACAAATGCGCAACATGCCGC